ATCATGTTCAAGAAGAAACCCTACAGATAATTTTCACGAGTGGAAAACATAGACTGCGGCATGAGGAGAGTCCAAGTCGAAAGTACAAAGTGATGAGGAGGGCGGAAAGCTGGGGCGGGGACGCCATTCGGGGCAGGGGTGTCAGGGAAGGCGCTGGGGGAAAGCACCAAGAGATGTGGGGTGAGCCCACGTGAGCCCTCAAAAGGGGCATTCTGGAAGAGAGGCAAGTGCAGCTTGCTGGTGTTACAGGCTGGTGCGCTGATGGGTGGGAGCAGAGCTGAGAGGAGAGAGCTGGTCTGAGAAGTGATTGAGGCATACGGCAAAGAGGTACAGGCCACTGGCATGTGGCTTGGAAGCCATCACAGAGTTTGATGAAAGCATTAGCGTCATCTGGCCAACTTCTTCAATTGGGATGTGATCACACACAAAATCCTTCCTTTTGAAGTTCACAATTCAGTGGTTATGGGTGCAGTCTCAAGGCTGCATACCCACTGTTACTTTTAATTCCAAAATATTTATCACATTCAAAACAAACCCTCAAATGCTCCACCTCTCAACTAATTTCCTTTCCCTCTGTGTATTTGCCTACGCTGGGTATTTCACATACCTGGAATCGCCTGACCTTTTATGTCTGATTTAACTTACTTGGCTATCTCTAGCTGACAAGGGGGGTGGGACAGAATCTGGGATACCAGTAATACCCGGGGTGATAACTCTAGCGAAAGGATGAGAGGGGCTTAGAACAGGATGTTATGGTTTAAATGTGAAATGCTCCCCTCACGCTCCCCCACAGGCTCATATATTTGAATACCTGATCTGCAGCTGTTGGAGCAGGTCATGGAGCCTTTTGGATATATGACCTAACTGGATGGAGCTAGAGGGGCCTATTTTTCCCCCAAAGCAGTAGATATCATTTTATATTTTAGTTTTTGATTATTTAACAGATACAATATATCTACTGACCTAGGGCTCACTGAGACCTCTGCTTCCTGGTCTGCCAAGAGTGGAGGAGACTCAGAGACATGCCCCAGCTGCCATGTACTCTGTCACGCCTTCCCCGCCATGATGGATTGTACCCTCTCAAGCTGTGAGCCAAAATATACCCTCCCTTCATTGATCTTTTTGTGGTGGGTATTTTGTCACAACAGAGAACCAAGGGGAACACCAACAGTTAGATACTGTACACATTATAATTTGGAAGTGGGGGTAAGGGAGGAAAAAAAAGTCAAGGATAACTCCCAGGTGTCGGCTTGAGCACCTAGACACAGAGCGATGTAATCCTGGGAGAGAAGGACCACTGTAGGGCAGGTGGGAGAAAACACCAAGGGCTGTGTTTTGGAGACTGACCATTAAATTTCAGATACCGACTGCCCTCCAAAGGGAAGATGATTTAAAACAAAAATCTGGCTGAGTCTACAATTCAAAATATGGACCTGTGTCCGAAAGTTAAACAACAGAAGGTGATTAATGCCATGCCAAAAGAGGACGTGATTACAGAAGAAACTGTTCTTAGACTCTTGGGATACATCAGCTTCTGCAGGTCAGAGAGATGAAGAGGAACCAGTAAAATGCTAAGAAATCACCCCCTAGGTTGGAGGAACAAAGAAGGGTAGGCTTCTAAAAACCCAAATAAACAGCCGATGGTGGAGGAAGGCCCCACCTTCTAGGCCCAGTACTTCTGACAGGCTGATTAAGATCATTAACCTCCAACTTGGGAAGGGGGCTGTCACTCTCAGGTCACAGGTCCTGTGACACCACACTGTCCACTCCTGCTGCACCTGCCATCTCACTGTCAGGCCTGCCTTCTCCAGATGTGACTTCGAAAATGACAGTTTGCGTGGAGTGAGGAGGTCAATGTCTGGCTGGACTTTGTTCAGGGGATCACGGTAAGGAAGGAAATGATGGCAGAGACAGGTCTTTCAGCAAAGTTGTCTAGAAGATGCTGGAGGAAAATAGCTGTATTAAGATGTATAGTAAAGAAGAAATTGTTTAAAATGTAAGAAATAAGAGCTCTGAGATGCTCCTGGGTCATATGTAGCAATCAGTGAGAGGGATAACAAGGGAGACAGTGGAGAAATTCTGAGCCTGGTTAGTGAGGTACAGGAGTAAATATATTTGATCTGTTAAATAACAACTAAAATGTGATATCTGCTGCTTTGGGAAAAAAGAAGTTGTTTTTGGTTTTTTGTTTGCTATTCTGTTTTATTGCGACACACAGGAATCAGCACTTTCTGAGGCTGAAGATATTGGACCAAACTCTGTCTATAATGCCTGGACAAAGGCAAGCTCTCAGAGTCAAGGAGCCCCGACTGCAGGCTACATCCTCCAGACCTCATTTAATCTCAGGTTCATCTGTAGAACAGTGTCCAAAACAACCTGCCCCCTTTTACATCACAGAACTGGTCTGACCATTGGATAAAAAGTACATGAATCATCTGAAAAGCCACAGGTGTGATGCCCAGCAAAGGCATTTGTACTTTTTCCTTATAAAGAGGAGTTAACATATCTGGTTTTTACCAAACATCCTTCATACAGAAATATTTGAGGCCCAATAATGGGAAACAAAGCAAAATAAAATTTATGAGGATAAGTAATTAGGGCATAGGAAAAATATAAGCCTTTTGGTTATGTACTGTACTTAAAACACATTTTAATAAGTTATAGATGAATGCAGTCTTCATTTCTTATTTTCTTTCTTTTAAAAACTGAACAACAAAATGCTAGTTAGGGCACAGGACAGGCTCAGGGCCATGTGGCTAGTTAGAGGCTAGTTATGACCCTGCTGCAGACAAAACAAAAACAAGCAAACAATACCAAGCAAATAGAATCTGTACTTGAGATTGATTGGAGAATCAGAGACAAAACCCTACAAACTAGATTGGACTGTAGGTCAGTGGTGAGGTCACGCCTAGAGCAGCTGTGAGCCTTGGCTGTCCCCGAGTCTCCCACTTGTCTTAGTCCCACCCTCTTGCCAGAACTGATTCAAACTGCGAGCAGGGTGTGGCGGTGCAGACCTGTAATCTCAGGACTTGAGGGGCAGAGGCTGAGGTGAGCCACTCCAGGTCCAGCACTAGCCATGTATCCTTGCTGTGTGAGTGATACCTAATCAGAAGGACAGACACTTCCCACAACCCTCTCCCCAACAATTTCCTCCTTCCTCCTGGGGGACATTAGGAGGTGAGGAATCTTAAACACTACTTGCACTTGACCAATTAATTTTTAATTCTGTCTGCTTGTCCACGGAATGCAGCTCCCCTTAAGAAAAATAGGTATTTCAGGATATTCTAGTTTTAGCATTAACTCTTCTTATTATTTCTCAGAGTAAACTAAGAAACAAAGGGGCGTGTTTATTTAAATTTTTTTTTTTTTTCTGAACAAGGAACTGGTTAAGAGAAAGAAGCCAGATGCGAACTTTTAAAAAGGCACTAAAGTTGGGTTGACATTTTTCCTGAGTCTTCACTTTACATTTGATTCGAAAACAGGAAAGAACTCAGCTGGCTAAAAGACCTAACAGGATCGTAAAGGAAAGTTTGAAAGATACGGATGAATGAAGAAATACAAGCACACATGTATACATAATACGTGCATGTATACATGTAAATTTCACTTAGAATATGGCAGGCCTTATGTATTCACTACTTGGCAAAAGGAATGAGAGCTCTAATTGTATACACTTTGCCTATAATTTATACAAAGCAATTTATTTTTCCACTTTTGTATTTGTCACATCATTTGTTTATATAAAACAGTGATATTGGGTGTTTAGCCAGAATTATAACTTAGACTACAAACCCGTGTATATTGTCATTTAATAAAATATAGAGATTATTCTTACAATGCTCTATATTACCAGGTTTCTGGGAGTCAATTTCAATACATGTGCTAATCTGTGTCAAATCCCCTCAGCCCCACATTCCACCATCACTGAGCAAGGATTTATTTGGAATAAATGAATTTTTTAAAAAGTAGAATATGAAACGAGACATGGTGGGGAATACCTTTAATCCCAGCACTGAGGAGGCAGAGGCAGGTGGATCTCTGTGAGTCTGAGGCCAGCCTGGATTCCACAGGGAGTTCCAGAACAGCCTGGGCTGCACAGACAGACACCCTGTCTCAAAGCTAATAAGATACAAAACAAAACAAAGTACAATTTCAAACATTACTCTTTTTTGAAGAATTTTTTCAGAAGAATATTTTGAAGAATTATTTTTGAAGAATATTTTCCTTTAATAATTCTTCTCATTAATATTAGTTATTATAATTAACACAATGTTTTATAATTCATATATTAACTAATTTCATCACTCAGAGTCATTATGAAGACTATACAGTGACAGACCAGAAAACAAAATCCTTGTGGACTCATCATTATTTCTGGGGAGCACGGAGCTGCTGGGCTGAATGAACAGAGGCAGCTAGACCAGGCTTTCTCAGTGATGCTGAGAGCCCCCGTGCCTTCTTACCGCCCAGTCCTTGACAGATCTACCTGCTGCTTGCTGTGTCAGCATGCTTGGGTCACGTGAGCTTCCCTAGCTCCATGCAGATAAGTATTTTTTCATTCAGAAAAAAAAGATGAATGGTAGAAAGACCCAGGACTTCAAAGTAAAGGGACACCACACCCTGCTGTGTGGCTCTGGGGAAACTCGGAGCTTTACTAAGGATCTGTTTCCTCACCTGGACAACAAAACAACTGGTCTGAATGACCTTTAAGGCCCCCTTCCAACCTAAATACCAGAACTACAATATGATTTGTTCTTTGTGATATCTGTAATATCTTAATAGGTAAACCATGCTTATATAAAGGGGAGGGAAATACATGAAATACCTTTGAAGAAAATTAAATATGATTCTTAATGCAATTTCACAATAAACATAGGAATTTATGAAGATTCTCTTTTAAATTTCAGAGTAAATTATGCCTTAATGAAAAATTTTGCTTCTGAACACATTTCCATTTGATATATCAACAAAATGATACTGCATACTAAAAATCAATTTACCTATAACTACATCATGACCGTCAACCAAGCCAGCAGAGAAGAGCTCCTGAGACACACCATCTGCTGTATCTGTCCAAATGTGAGATGAATATGTATTAGAAACCATAACATAAAAAATCAATAGCCCAGCACAATATAAAAATATATTTTTCATTTACTAAAATCACCCACATGATTTTAATTCATCAATTCAGATCCTATTAGAAAAAAAATCAGAAACACCATAAAGTATATTTTCCCACAAGCAATTTGTCTTTTGTCTTTTACTTAACAGATCTTACTATAAAAATATTTATTTCACTTTGGTGAACCAAAAAACTTCCCCTCTGGCCACCAACTGACTTAATCTTCCGGTATACTCTAGAACACCTGAGTGCTCTCCATGACATTGCTTTTCTTTCTTGCCAAGGTTAATTCTAGCCATCATCAATCCTTTTCAATCATTCGTAGCTACTGAGTTAAGAATTTATAGCAAAGGTTGAATGGGTAGAATCTGATACAACCTTACACTTGGTACAAACAGCCCATGGGCTGGTTGGACTATTAAGATGAGCTATTTAAATGTATGCTATTAAGAAACCCCTTTAACACAACATTGATCATTTGATAGCAACAGATTCATTCTCTTAGAAAATGTGGCTGTGTAAAATAATGTAGTTTCTCAATGATAAGTGACAGGAGTTGGCAATCTCATAAAGATGGGACTGAACAGGCTGTAGCAAGTGAATATAGCTAAAAATTACTTAATTGAGAGGTTATGAATGAGCATGGTAACACTGCTAACTTGCATTGAAAGACTTTTCAAGGAGGAACTGAAAATTGCGATATGCTTAAAAGAACCATTACAGAACCCTGTGTTATAATAAAGGAAATGATTTCATCTCCACAGCCTTCTGATATTCTAACAGGCACCTAGCAGCACTGGCTACAAACAGCATGGGCAATTTAGGGATGATCTGACAGGAGTATTTTCCAAAGTCAGGGAACGCCTGAATATACAGCTGCTGCATCAAACAAACAACAAAACAGAACTGCAGAGACAAACCAGCTATGGTGGACTATGTGAATGAGCCCGCAGAGGAGGTCTGTGTACACACATAAACTGCATTTGTGCATCATATGCATATTCATACATGCATTCGACCTGCTTTTTCACAATTTGGGGGATTTAGAGTGTTTAGACCTGGTGTATGAATACAATAAATACATAATGAATACAATAAATGGTGATGTCGAAGGCAGTGGTACAGCCAAAGGGCATTCCAAACTCATCTTACATTCTTGTGCACTCTTTCTCTCCCTTCCTCCATCTCCAGAAAAGATGAAGACTCTCAAAGTATATGCTAGATGCTTCCAGAGATTGTATTTCTCTCTAATTTCAGATGACAAGGGATGATAAGGAAAGCTTGCTAAACGATGGGATCCCACACGAGGCCAGCTCGTCTTGGGCCTTCTCCTGCTCACAATGATTAAACACAAAGTTTATAAAGATCCCTGATGGAATGATCCCACCTTAGGGGACTGAGGAGAGCTCAGTGAATGGCTGTGTTTTGAGGGTGACTCTTTCTGAAGCTGCTGGCACTCAGAATCCCCATCCTCCTGGAGATCAACCACAGCTCTAGGACAGGAAACCCTTTTAATGAAGGTGCTGAACAGATGTAGGTGACAAGCTTGCAGTAGGAGGTCATTTATAGCTAGTGACTGGCCAGCAGCGAGAAGATCTGAATCTTACATTTCTGCAGGCAGCCGCGCACTCAGAATGCAGCTGAAAGAGAGACATCGCACAAAGCCACACCAAAGGCTAGCACTAAACCAGTGCCAGAGTGACAGCCACTCCCTGGCCATTAAACTGGATAGCATGTCCTATTTTCAGGCCTCTTGGGCACCAGATGATTCATATCAAAGTGGCAAATGGCTAATGCTGCCTGGACAAGATGGGAAATGCCCCTGTCGCTGTGTATAACACAAAGCAGTTATTTTTCTATACAGGTAAGCATGATACCTGTAATAGTTTAGACCAAAAATATGAAGTGATTATTTTAAGTTTACTAGTAATTTATTTTTACTTTAAGCTGATGCTGAAACAGGCTAAATAATCACGTTGACATCTAGTTTCCAGAATATACAATAACATCATAAATAAAAGGGTGCGTCCTCAAAAGACAACAGAGAATTTCCGTGTGCACGCCACATTTTATGCCATACACAACTCTGCCTGTTTGTAGACAGCACACATGTAGTGCACTGTGGTGTATGGTGCACACATATATCTGACATTGCCTGATGAACAGGTAGCACCACGAGTTGCACACACAGTGCATCCAGTACTAACAGGCCTGTGCTTGGTGTCCAAGAGAGGATACAATTACCAGCCAAGTCACTGCAACGGTTTCCGCCTGAGCACGAAAGTCAGAGACTAGGCATCAAATCCCTGGCAAATGGGGCACCAAAGGTGGTGCAAACGGCCTAGTGATGACAGGACCACCTTATCCACACAAATGCTCAAGTTGGAAATGCATTTCTTTGTTAGTTCTTAATTAAAATTGATTTTCATTGCTGTAGTCAATCTTAAGCAACCAGATGAAAAGAGGCAACCTTAAAATCAGAATCTGCTCTTCTTATACTTGTAACATCTGTTATATAATTACTAGATCTTATTCACAACATTGCCTGGTCAGTATTTTTATATTCTGTTTCATAACTGTGATTGGTGTTGTACAATCTCACAGGCCCATCTGAAACTGCTAAGGATGGGTACACTTGAAAAGAAAGCCCAGTTAGCAAGCTCATTAGGGCCTATGGGCATTTATTTTGTAAAAGGTATTTCATGTTTTTATCTGATTCAGATATTCGGGAAGTCATCTGATCCTTGCCTTTACAGAGGACTCATGATCAGAACTAGAGGAAATCTCAGCCCACCAACACTTAAGGTCTAGGAGCATAATTTGTTTGACTGGCAGTACTTAAACAATTTCTCATGAAGGCAATACTTGAACAGCTTCCCATCCACAGGACGGATCAATGTCTTGAAGTGCCTGTCATTCACTATGGCTCTTTAAGGCAGTTAGGCCAGCATCTTCTCACAGGTGCTAACAATAGGGAGGCCAGGGCAGTTGACTGCCAGACTAGCTCTCAGGCCAAGTGAATCCTCATACTTTGGGCTTTTCAAAGTTTAATAAATGAAGCTGAAATTTATGTAGAACCCTAACACGTAGAATGAACACTGAGCTGTGAGCTTATGGATACTACAAATCAGAATGCAGAAGACTACTGCACGACATGGAAAATAGTTACAAACTTAGCATGTGTTGGCATCTCATTGTTTACTTCTTTAGACTATTGAGCTATAAAGTAAATGATGTAAACCATATTTTTTCCTTGGGTTACTTATCTATTAACCAAGGTTTCTTGATGGTCTACATGCCAGGCTCTATGCCTGTTGCAAAAGATAATAAAAAATAAAAACAATACATGGTCCCATTTTCTGACATGCGGATGCTGTATGAACAATCAGTCCATCCATTAAGCAGTTGCAATAATGTACTTTTGATATGCAAATTACAAAGAGGCTGTAAGAGAGGTAGAGCTTGTTAGCTTATGGAGTAACACCACACTCACTGTCACTTCCATTAAAAGCTTCATTTTCATATATATATATACATATATAATAATTAATTTAATTTTACATATCAGCCATGGATTCCCCTGTCCTCTCTCCCCCACCAGCCTTCCCCTCTAATCCATCCCCCATTCCCACCTCCTCCAACACAAGGTCTCATTTTCAAGCAGCATGTATTTTCATGGTTAAGCTAATATATCTAATTTATACATGTATGTTCACCATGCCACAGGTGCCACTGGGATTCATGTAGTGAGCAGTGGTCTAGGATCCTTACACCTAACAAGCTCTTTCTTTCTTCTTTGTTTATAGACCAAACATTTTTTGAATAGCAAATTATAACTATATGCTTATGATCAAGTTCTCAACTGTTTCTTCTTCCACCAAAATAATAATTTCAGTTAAAACTTGCCTCTTCCTGGAGTAAATTCAAATCGTATGTCATTCAGTTCCTTTCTGGAGTTTCTGAAACATATAACATAAAGCACATTAAAATCTAACCAGGCAGAGTTACTCCTGTAATCAAGCCAAATTACTCCCAATTCTTGTAAGATGCCAGTAGTGTGGAGACAGCATTTTACAGTTTTAGGTCACCTCCAAATATTTTCTCAAGTAGAAGATACAGTTATGATAACAATTAAGTGAATAGATATTTTTGATGAAATTTATCTTACATGAACATACTGATAACAAAAAATTCTCAAAACAAAATGTTCATTTTATAAAATCCATACTAACTCAGTAAGCGTAAATCTAATTTCAGAATACACATTTTTAGAAGCCTTTAGTCTAAGTGGTATCTTACACATTTTTCATATTCCCCCTGGACAGTAGTATTTTAGTAACAGAATTTTAAAGTTAAAAGCATCAAGGAAGACTGACTCCATAAGTTCAGAACAGGCATTACATATTAAATCACACAGAACAAAAACAATAAGGTGCATCTGTTGTTAAAAGTCTTTTCTCAATTCAGGCATCTCTAAATGTTGCAAAATTTCCCAAAGAATAATAAACTTTATATAAGATACAGAAAATTTTAAACTATATATGTAAATATATATTCAATAAAAATTAAATGACACTCAACAAAAATCTAAGGAACCATTTTCTCATTCATAGGAAGTTCAAGTAATGATAAAGGCTGGTGGCCCATAAACTATTAAAAGTGACTATGTATAACTTCTGGTCTCTGGGGACACTGTACAAAGCCTGATGGTGCTGGTATGCTCTCTGAACCCTTTAGTCTATAACCATCTCTTTATGTTCTGGGCTATCATCTCCTACCACACTAAGTACAAGGAGGTCAGGAAACTGGAAAGGACTTGTTATCAACTTAGAGAAAGCCCTCCTCACTGCCTAGAAAAGCTAACACACATCTAATACCAATCCACAAGGAACAAAAGGCAAAATATGAGGACAGGAACTCAAATCCAGATGTTAAGAGTCTTGAACCTAGAAATCTGCATCTGTCCTCAGGTTTCAACATCTGGACTTTGCAACTAACCCTCTAAGGGTTGAAGTCTTACAACTGTGCTTCCAGTAGGACTTTGTGGGAATCGGCAACTCTGAAATGTGTGGATCCTCACCCTAAAATAATTACCTTTCCTAATTTTAATTCAAATATTTCATAAATAAGTACTTTCTGATTGAGGGCTTATCTCTACAATAGATTGCTTGCCTAAAGTGTGTGTAGCCTTGGTTTGGATCTTTAGTACAAAACTGAAAGTAATTCTCCCTTCCAAAAGAAAAATAAATGCATTAACAGACTGAATTGTTTTATATTTTGGAAAGCCTCTGTGGCATTAGTTTCACATGACTGAATATTTACAGTTGATCTGTTGCAATATATCATGTTATATAAGGAAAAATTCCAGTAATCTTATATGCACAAAAGAATGAGTGAAGAAGTAATTAATTTCTTAATATAATAAAATAGTTTTGCCCTCATAAACTCCAGAGGGAGCCTGTGAACTCCCAGGATAACTGAACATATACATCAAGTATTGAGGAATATTATTTTAAGGTGTGTTCCTTTTGTTTATGTTGCATTTGTTTAACTCTGTGAAGCTGTGTTACTGTACCTGTCTAAAACACCTGATGGTCTAATAAAGAACTGAATGGCTATAGTGAGGCAGGAGAAAGGATAGGTGGGGCTGGCAGGGAGAAAGAATAGATAGAGGGAGAAATCTGGGAGAAAAAGAGATCAAGGAGCCAGTGAAGGAGGAAGACTTCAACCATCCAGCTACACAACCAACAAGCCATGGAGTAAGAGTAAGATTTACAGAAGTAAGACAATGGAAAACGCCCAGAGGCAAAAGGTAGATGAGATCATTTAAGTTAAGGAAAGCTGGCTAGAAACTAAGCCAAGCTAAGGCCGGACATTCATAATTAAGTATAAGCCTCTGTGTGTGATTTATTTGGGAGATGGGTGGCAGGCCCCCCAAAATAGTAAAGTACCAGCAAAAACAATCAAGCAACATTGGCTTCTCTTCTGTATCTATGGGTTCTGCATCCTCTGAGTCAACCAACCACAGGTCAAAAATGCTCATTGTGAAAAGTGAGCCTATACTAAACATGTATTTTTCTGTTTGCTTCTGTACATTCTCTAAAAAAATATAACAACCACTTGCATAACATTTGCAATGTATGAAAAGTACCCCCTAGAAATACAGTGTTATAAAGAGAAAAGGGGGAAGGTAGAATAGGAGGATTAAATGGGGGGAAGCTGAGAGGTCAGCGTAAAGGAGGGAGTATGGGGAGGAACAAAGGCCTAAAGACCTAAAGACGGTAAAGGCCTTTTGAAAAGCTGTATGGAAAGCTACTGCTGTAGAAGCTTCTTTAAATACACACACACACACACACACACACACACACACACACACACACACACACACGGAATGTAAATGGATTCACCATATAAAGGGGAGGCAATGCCCCAACTAGATCTCCTAAGTCTGCAAGTAAAACTTCCAGTGATGCAAATGAGTTACACCTTGTTGAGTCATTCATTGGCTAAGGGGCCAGATGGAACCCCAAACAACACAAGCCATTGCCATGGCTTTTGGTTATCCATGACAACCTGATGGTAAGGCCTTATAACTGAAGACACAACGGACTTATGTCATTGAGCTTGGAGAAACCAGGCTGGTTCCCAACGAGGAGCTTCACTCCAAATGGCTAGCATTCATAGTGCTGGAAGGCACTCTGCATGCTATCAAAGGAGAAAGGTAGTCATCAGTATCACCCAGCTACAAACCTTTGATCTACATCATCAACTTCCCTGGAAAATGTACTGGTTCAGTAGTGGCACCAATGTTAGGGTGGTAACCAACCACCCCTTGGTTGGATTTAAGGCCCACTCTGTGAGATAGTACCATACTTGACACTACTAAAGTGGCTATGAAAGTGAGACTAGACAGGTGATGGGCCCTAGGGGGAACCCTAGTAGTATTATTCTGCTAAACAAACATAGCAATAAAATGACCCCAAATGACATGTTGCTCATAGATCAGAGCACCATTCAACCCTCATCAGAGAAGCTTCATCTTGCAGTAGATGGTAATTAACACAGAGACCCACAACTGGAGAGTAAAAGACTTCAGAGCACTTAACCTTAAATGAGATGTCATTATCAAACTCCTCCCCTCAGGGCACAGGGATCCTTGATGAAGAGGAGGTGGAAAAACTGTAAGAGACAGAAGTGGTGGACAACTCTAGGGAAACAATGTCTTCTAGATTCAACAGAACGGATAGACGTATGAACACACAGAGACTGTGACAGCGAGCGCAAGACCTGCATAGTCCCAAGCCAGACAAAATCCCAGAATGGAGGAGGGGAACTAAACACAGAGTTCCACCCTTAATCAAGAAACTCTTGAATCCACACGTGTTGGGAAAGGGAGACATCAGTTTTTTTGATGCAGTAACACTGAGAGTATCAACCACAGTCCAGAGCAGGCACCATGCCCAGGAGCAGTCGGTCAAAACCAAACAGACTCCATGTTGTTTTGTGTGAGGGAGAGAGAGAGAGAGAAAAAACAAACATGAGATTGGGTGAGCATGGAGGTGGGGGGATCTGGGAGAAGTCAGGAGTTAAAAAAGAAAAAAGTGTCCCCTAAAGAGTGCAACAAGTAGTTGTGATAAAAAATATATGAATAAATGGTATATATATATTCATGTCACATTAGTCACTGAAAAAAATCTAGAAATCACTTAAAGTGTGTTGGAAGGTGTCACATGAAAATATTACATTATATAAGAGAATTGAACATCTTCAGATTTTTGTGTTGTTGGTAGGTGTATATTTCTCCCTTTGATTCCAACAGTCAGCCACTGAGATATGCAAAAGATACCTGCTGGATTCTTTTATTTTGTGTTCCAAAGCCTACTACCCCCTCCCCATTTTACATAACTACATTCAGTGTACCCCTTGTTTGTAAGTTTAGTGAGTCACAAAGTGAGGACAAACAATTCTATACTGGAAATGCCTGATATACATAGAATACTCAAGCCATATCATTTTTTATGAGAAAGCCACATCCTTCAAGATTTTACATATTATTAAACAACCCCCCAAACACATGAACAGTCTTGGTAGTGGATGCTATATGTAAGCGAAAGGAAAATTAAAACTAAAGTAATCTAGTAGGAAAAAAGATCACTAAGAAAGGGAGTACCAATATTATATTTAATAATGAAATGACTCAAGGAGAATAAAATAAAGGCACTTGGTTCAATATTAATTGGTGTCAGGGCTCCTTTTTCATCTAGTGGGTCTTGTTCAAATTAGTTTTTTCTACTCAGGCCATGGTAAAAGAGTGTATGCATGAGCTGCACCCTGAATATCATCATGAACATCCTAATTTTTTAAATATTAATATCACAAAAGCAATAGCCAGCCCTCATAATCCCCACCAACATCAACTGCGAAGTTTGCCTCTGCAAGTCACTCTTTATGACTCTGAACCTAAGTCTCACCTTTGAAAAGGCCACTGTGATTGATTGTAAGTAGTAGACTTGTCCCATCAAGGTGATATATACTTGGAAAAATGCCTAATTGGTTCTAACTACTGAAGGTCGTCCTTTTATAAAGAATTAATCTTTTCAGACTCATACTTACACCTTTAATTGAAAGTACATTCACTTTAATTGATGTGGCGCAGGACAGTCTTGATTTCAGGGAAGTCGAAGACAGGAATGGTTTAAGGCCAAAAATAGTCTGTGCAGCTTTACAGTAGAAACAGTTTGAGGCCCAGGCTGCTGCTGCTGCCACCTCATTAAAAAAACCTCCTTAATCCTAAAATAAAAACTATCAAATTGGGTAAAGCAAAATTCTTTACTGCTCACTGTAGGCATACCCTGTCTCACAAATGCAAATGCCAAAGCATCCTGTAAGAAATTTATTCTTACAAAGGAGAAATGCAATCATATGGCATGACTGCATACCCTGGCACTGCTGGATCTGT